GAAACCTATCCCTCGGGCCAAAGGCCCTCGGGCTAGTTCGGCCCTCAGGGCATTATAAGGTCCGTAACGCCCTTGGTACATAAATAGCTATTTTGATGCCAAACGATTTCGGTGATTAACTAGGTCTCAAACAAGTATTTGGTACGGCATTATTCCTATTGTGTTTTGATAACCGATACTTTGCTTATTTATAGTGGTATCCAGTGGTGCCCATTAGAAATATTTGCAGCCAGGCTGAGTCTGACAATGATTAAGCGACTCTCCCACTCGTCTCAATTACCATGATAACTTTATAACAGGCGCTGAATTCGGTCCATTACTAGAGTAAACAAGATGGATCAGGTAAAATTTATCTGGCGAACCGTTTAGGTGGGCATGATAAATTAACCGACGTTAACTTTACTTTCGGAAAGTGGGATATGGCGTCATCCATACGCCGGATGAGTCTTGATTGATTTCAACATTTATTAGTGAATATAGTTGATTTCAATAGTTTTTTATTAATTCACAAGATGTCTAATTTTAAGTTGATATCTGTTTTTATGTCTTTCGCAGTATAAGTTTGGACATCACAATTTTTACATTTACCATACAGGAGGTTGAATTTTTTGATTAATTCTTGACATTTATCTAGTATTAGACTGTAAAAAACCAATAAACTTCTAATCGTGGGTTTAAAAGCCGCAAAGCAACCTCCGAACTGAAAGAATATAATTTTGGTTGTGTGCATATAGTGCATATAGATGCAATTACGCAGTTCACATGAAAAATTGTTCGGATTTGTTTCCGGATTTTGGATTGGATTGAGGAACACCTCATCACATTAAGAAAATAACGTCTCTCAAAAATACAGCAGAAGGTGCTGCAAAACCAATATTAGTTCGAATCCCATCTCGCTACACCTGTTTTACACAATATTCTTTTCATTTTGCGATTTTGACCGCAAGCCGGTCTCCCCTTTCAGCAGTTATGGGCGAGTTGTCTTCAGATTTTCATTAACACCATATGGCGACACGCGTGTTTCGACCCTTCGTACGTTTACCTACACTTTTTGTGGCAATTTCAGTCAGTTACGTGTCCAAATATTCAGAAGCACGGCTGTGTTTTAGCAACTAACCTTTAGTCGAGAAGAGCATAAATCATAAATGTATTTTTTTGGTAATTTTCATAGAACTCATTACACTGTTTTGTTTCAAGAATCGTACTGTTTCTTTGTACAGTCGACGAAAATGTATGTTTGAACAATCTGAAATAATGAAACAAGCGAGAAAAAAATGGCCTTTTCTATGATTTTCATCTAATGACTTTCCAGTCAAGGGACAGCCGAAATTATGTCGCATATAATTTGTTTAATCGCATTAGTAGTAGTAGTAGTACGTGGGAGCAACAGAGACCCTATAAAGACAAAGTTTATTTAACAACATGTCACGATCGTTTACAGTATCCAGAAAAATCAGAAAGCTTGAAATTGACTTGTATAGAAAAATACAAATAGAAAACTTACAATTTCTATATAAGGTAAGAGCACCAAATGTGGTAATGTTAAGAATTCATTTTATCGTTCGCCCCCCATAAATTTCACTAATACGAAATCACCCTCTTTACAATTATCTTTATCAAAATTTTTAATATCTTCCATTTATCCTTCATCACAAGCACTAACTTCCACCATTTCAGAATGATTGACTTCAGAACAATTCACGTTTTTTATATTCTAGCTAGTCACTTACATTTCTACTCTATTCCCTCAGGCCGGTGAGCCAACAAATATATTTCCCGTTTTAGCGATCAAGGCCATATTAATCCAGTGAAGTGGATTAGCTTGTTTAATGTTCGTCAGACATAAATGGCAGACGCATACTTTGGATTTATTTCGAAGGTAAGTTATTGTCGGCACAGTTTTGTACATGGTGAAGAACTAAAATTATAATTTTATGTAGCCCCCAACAAGCATAAATTTAGCTCACTGAGATTTGTTAATAGAATAGTCATCCCGTCCAGTTTTTTTGGAATGTTCAGTAAAATATACAATGGTTTTTGAAATAGAGGTCTCGAACGTTCTCTGATGTTGGATAATTCCAGAGATATATTGGCCACCATCAACTTTGCGTTGTAGGTAGGTACGTGTTTTTGGTGCCAACTTTTTCGTTTTGGTATTTTTTCAAACCGATGTTTCGCATGGTGTTTAATGCTACGTAGTTAATATGTAAAGTACGGTGTGGAGATATTAGTCTCTTTTTCCATGGAATCTTGGGCTTGTGATATATGACATTGACTCAAAATAATAAAGTTTCTATAAAGTTCCTAACGCTACTTGATTAAAATCTTTTAGCGGCACTTGCTAAAAATAATCAGTTGTAATCTGTTGAAATAATTAGCTTTTAGCTTAAAATGCATAGCTTGGCTTGTGGTTTTTGTGTGCAGATATTTTAACTTCATAAATATTTGATCTTATTCGTAAAGTAAGTAAAGCAGTATAAAGCAATGTAACATTCATCATTTACATTATAAAAATTAACTGAAGAAATACAAAGATCCTTAAATCGTATGGATATAGTTTCAAATAATATTATTGACAAGCAGGTCTATTTTACCCGGCAATGATTATAGACCCAGAATAACTGGACATCTACTCGTATTGACCAAGAGCTTTGTAAAATCATATTCGACTTGATTCTTACTAGTTTTTGCGGCTGATGGTATAAGTTTTTCAATTTCATTTTGAGCATTGAGTCTAATAAAAATGTCTGTTGGCAATTTTACAATCACTTATTGAGTATTAGCTACCGCAATTTATAGATGTGGGGATTAATTTAGCAGGTTTGGGACAATTGAAAAGAAACGCTTTACTTTTTTGAAAGAGCCGACGTTTCGACCATATATTTGGTCCTATTTAAGGCTATATTATATTTAGATAATATTGCATACACGGGGCAGACATACAGGCGATCACAGTGGCAGCAAACGGTAATCACAATAACTTGTAAAATTTGTCAGCCTGTGAATTGACCATCTGGAACTTGCACAAAATGTCTTTGAGATTACTTGAAAAAGCTACACACGATAGGGCTCGGTCATAAAAGCGAGTTTCATCAAAACGTGTTAACGAGATTAAATATGATCTTCCGATGGGCTTTAATAAATAATTAATTAAACTTCATTAGTTGATAGAATTTCAGGATATTTTCTCGACTTTAGACTACTCTTTAATTGCATTCATTTCCTCATACAGTTTTTTATAATATTTCTTGTCACTCGTAAATAAATTTTGTTCATATTGTGCTTCATTTGCAATACTTGGCGCATCAAAATGGTAAAAGCATTTAATTGTAGGCTGAGTGCCCCGCAGCAATATTGAAAATTAAGCGTAATTTAGTGTTTTATCCCGTACACGTAAACACATAAATCCGTTGACGGTTAATACTGCACCTACAACACATTTATGAGAATGCATCCGACAATGATGCGAACTTTACAGTTCCCTGCGCCAAACAGGATGCCTAACCTATATTAAAAATAGTTTCGGAGATTGCAAGGTAAATTCAGCAATATCCAAGCTAAATAATTTTAAAGCGATTTGGCAAATATTTGACGTTTCATAGAAATAAATATTTTTATGTGGAAGGTGATGATTAATATTAATTGAGGCTGAACACAGCTGAAGTCACTGGAAATAACAGAACGTTTTTTAGGAGGAAGTTAACATCCTATTATTTGTTTCTGTTGGGGCGGTATCCAAATATTAGGGTAGACTGCATATAAATCATAATTACGAAGCTATATCATATATGCGAAAATTGCAAAATGGTTTAGATTTTTTACCGGCTTTAGAAATGTAACTTTCTCCTGATGAAGTTATTCGAGTTAAATTTTTATAGTTTTGTTATCTTGTTCATATTAATATGTAGCTTTTAGAAGCAATACAAGACAAGACAGACATATTATCTATCCGGTGCATTTTCCAGGACAGTTTTAATGTTATTTGCAGACAAAATCATGGACTTCTTGCTTTTCAGTAGGGTTCTAGTAATTTGGTATAAGTTGTAGTGTTTATATTGTGATGGATATTGTTGTTCGTAACGGAGAATAAAAGGACCAAACCGAATAAGGTTTTTAAGAAAGATAACAATTCTTCTTCTTATTGCGCCGTCTTCCTTCGACGGTTGGCAATCCAACTGGCAATAATTACTCGTGACACAGCCGCTCTGATTATTTCCGATGATGTTTTACTGAGCCATCATCGTAGGTCCTTGAGGCAGGAATTCTTCCTTCTACCTATTGTTCCCTTCCCCTGAATCTGTTCCTCGATGATTAACCGAAGTATTTCATCTTCGTCACTTCTTACTATATGTCCAATATACCTTAGTTTACGCTCTTTGATTGTTAGCATCAGCTCCTTGTTCTTCTGTATTCTATTCAGAACTTCGGTGTTTCTTACTCTCTCGATCAAGGCTATGTGTAATATTGTCCTATAAAGATCCATTTCGAAAGCTGCAATGCGTTTTTGTAACGAGGGGTTGATGGTCCAGCTTGCGCAGCCGTACAGGATGGGGAATACGTAACAGCGTAGCATTCGGATTCTAAGACCCAAGTCTAGGTAACGCTTAAAGAGAAAGTTCTTCATGTGATTAAACGTCCTCCTGGCCTGTTCAATTCTTGATAGTACCTCTTCCGTCGAATCGCAACTATCACACATTAGTTCCCCCAGATATCTGAAGGATGACACCCGCTCAACGATCTTGTTATGTATTCGAACGTTAGCATGTGTTTGTACCTTCGAGGAAACCATAAGTCGTTTTGAGAATGTTTATATGAAGTCGATAACGCTTGCTGTACTCAACAAACTTCAAGTTGCTGGAGTTCAGGCAGTTTGCTGTCAACAACGATTGTATCGTCGGCATATCTTATACTGCTAATTGTATTGTCATTGATTTTGAATGTAGAGCTGCTGTTTTTAAGAGATTCCGCAAATATCCTTTCCGAGTACAGACTAAAGAGTAGCGGAAATAATATGCATCTTTGTCGCACAACTTTTCTTATGGCTATCTCCTCCGATATTTTGTTTCTACCCTTACTTGAGCTGTCTAATGCCAGTAGAGTTCTGTCATGAATTGCAAATCACGCTCGTCCACCCTGTTTTTTTGAGGATTTCTGCAAATTTTTTATGTTGCACGCAGTCAAAAACTTCGTGGTAGTCTGTAAAGCAGGCTTATATTTCTACGTTCAAGTCGCGTGCTCTCTGTGTAAGTACGTTAAGCGAGAATAGAGCCTCGCGCGTTCCTAATCCGTTTCTGACGCCCAATTGAGTGTCGTCAACTTCCTGTTCGCATTTCTTGAATATGCGAGTATGTATAACTCTCAGAAACGTTTTTAGTACGAGACATCAAGCTTATCGTGCGGTAATCATCGCATTGGGACGCGTATGGTTTTTTGAGTAAAGTGACAAAAGTTGACCTTAGCCATTCCGAGAGTAATTTTCCTGTTCTATAAATATC